CTCTCTCTCTCTCTCTCTCTCTCTCTCTCTCTCTCTCTCTCTCTCTCTCTCTCTCTGCTTGAAGGTCTTGACTCTGAAAGAGTCTGAATACGTCCGCTGCTACTCAGCTCTATCTCCTACTACTAGCTATGCGGCTATGGCCGCCTCCCTTCCTCAGCACAGCGCTGCCTAGCAGGGCCCTTGCGCATGCCACTGGCAGATAGCACACAAGCGCCTGAGCAGCACGTCCACACTTGTACTGAATGAGCAATATGTCCGAAATGAGGCTGGCCAGTCCTTGTATGGACTTGGACGGAGCCGTTACTCGTCCCAGCCTCTGCTTACTTTGGCTTGACTTGGATCCGGTACCACATGCCCGCCGCCTGTTTGCTTCGGAATATTGAGGCCTGGTACCTCCCTGAGTTTCCCTTGGTGTGCTGCTGCTTTGGATCTGTGAAACGTGACCCTTGACTGTGAGTGGGATATGACCTTTGGCTGTGAGACGCGACTTCTGCCTGTGAGACACGACCTTCGACTGTGGGACGTGACTTCTGCCTGTGGGATGCGACCGTTGACCGGGTACCTGCTGGACTTTGACCCCTGGGGTACCCGACATAACCTTTCTGAAACTGGCCGGCCTGGCCCCTCTCAGCCTGGGGTATTCTAACCCTGAATTCGAATTTGGGGTCTGCATCGTGGAATGCCTTTCAGTGGTCAAAATCAGCACAAAACAAGTCCTGCCGTCTTCACCCGGAATAGAACACCCGGTAATTATCTCTGTATCTAGACTGATAGAAGGCGCTAACGCGAAGTTCTGAATATATAGCTATAATGACCGGGCGTTCCATTTGGGTGAAGATGCTAGGCATAGCCTTTGACCGACTCCTAGTTCTGCCGTTGACCAGGTCGAAAAGAGGTGCCCAGGGCCTCTTGAATGGACCTTATTGTTTGGCCAAACAGATTTGTAACTTGGTACATGATATTTGTATTAATTTGAGAATATCCTCGAAGATCGAGCTTGGCGATAAAGTTAAATTCTTGTCTACACTTATCAGTCTTGGAAAACCAATATTACAATGGGAAGCACCTCTCTCTGATATAATAAAAAACCTGAGTAGATCTGGATTTTGTGATCAAGCGGGTAAACCACATGCCAAATTGGCCGTGAAGTGCCCTAAGGAAAGTAATCAGTCAGACCCAACCTGGGTGGGCCACAGAAGTCAAAGAGTCAAAGATTTCTCAGGAGTCGACAACAGCCGCAGATCTCACACATATATGAAAGTTCAGTGCATTTTCAGTGAAGTTTCCAAGGCCCTCTGGGTCCAGGCACACACTGCCCGCAAGCTAACCTCTTGCTGGCTACACAGATCAAGAAATCTCAGCCACTCGCCACTGGGGCGGGGTCACGCCCATCCGTAATTACACACGACTTGGGATTACGCTTGTCCTCCTCGTATTTGCTTGCCGGTGCTAAGCAACCGAACTGCTGGCCCCCAGAATAGAAGTAAGTGGCTGTGTGTGTGTCTTTTGTTTAAAAAAAAAAAAATTAAAAAAAAAAAAAAAAAAAAAAAAAAAAAACAGCCCTACCAGGAGGTCACCACTGGAGGAAGGTCAGACCAAGAGTCAATACTACATAAACTCGACCTGCCACAGTTCGGGGATTTGTTCTGCCGGCAGTGTCTCTGTTGACTCGGACTGGCCTGAGCTCCAGACTTGAGAGAGCTGCTCCTGGAGGGCTACCCTCGTCCCCCAAATAGAACGTAGGGTGATTATTCCCGTATCTGGACTGAGAGTTGGCCGAAGACAGATAAAATCACCCGCCGTTCTATTGGGGGGACGACGCTAGCCCTGGAAGAAGGCAGCCAGAGAGCGAAGTGAGAATGGGAGCGAGAGTAGCCATAGCTAGGATAGGTGGTGTGCTGCACCATGGCTTAGCAGTAGAGAGAGAGAGAGAGAGAGAGAGAGAGAGAGAGAGAGAGAGAGAGAGAGAGAGAGAGAGAGAGAGAGAGAGAGAGAGAGAGAGAGAGGTTTGACAGCCGAGAGATCGTGTGCTGAGAGGAGAGAAGAGAGAGGTCAGAAAGAAAAAGAGAGAGAGAGAGGGGCTTACTTGGACTCACGTGTTCGTTATTCCTGTTTGTGGAGGCCGGCATTGTTGGACCCCGAGAGAGAGAGAGAGAGAGAGAGAGAGAGAGAGAGAGAGAGTTGCACCGAGAGAGAGAGAGAGAGAGAGAGAGAGAGTTGCAC